TTTTACCGTGCCTTGTGTGGGAGGGTAGGTAAAGCTAGATAGTCTCCCGAGAACTGTGACGCAACTGTAAAATATACTCAATGACTCTGATCGCTTTCTGCTTGGCTAGATCAGATGGATTATTTCCTACAGTGCACTGTATTTCCAATTTTTGATCATTACTTTCTTGAAGTATTAGGCCACAACAGTATGTTCATTCTTTCTGCATTGATTTGGCTCATATGAGCCTGGATATGTAAGACTAAAAGCTGAGTGCTTTCACCCAACTGAATAGGTGCACCTCATAGCTGGCATTGCATGTCCTTTGTGGCTTATTGCTATTATCACAGAGCTCTTTTACTTTATATTTCCTGATTTGCCTGAAACTTTGTTTGTTTTTAGTATTTTAATGCACCATATGCTTCATATGAAAGATTTCATAGGAGCATAAGAGAAAATCATATGGGAAAATATCAACTTTTTTTGCTCTTTTGAAAATATGTGTACAATATATATAAATATTGTTTGTTCCTAGCCTTTCCTGACCCATCATTTGCTCTTCCCCTAGAGTGCAGCTGTGAATTCAGCAGAAGTCTGGGGTCTCTTGGCCACTTCCAACACTTTCTATTGTAAAAGTTCAATCTGTGATGTTAAATATTCCCTGATTTAACGTTTTTGATGGTGAGAACTGAAGGTGGCCAGATGGCCAGCGGGCAAAGGCACATGGAAGCAAGAGAGCCTTAGTCGCTGCCATTTTCATTAAATTCCATTATTCTCTGTCCTAGCAGCTGTCCTACTTGAATTTTTGTTCTTAAAGAGCAGGTTTGGGAACACTGGAACAGCTTCCAGTTAATCTTTAGAATTACAACGTTTAATTGTGAGAGAGCCCAGCCACTCCTAAAGTGCTGTTCAGTACTGCAGAGGGGCTAGAGAGGGGAACATGCTGTTCTTCTGGAATTCACCGAGTTACCTTTTCATGTAAAGGTGAGCTAAGAGGTCCAGCTTCCTGTGAAGCTTAATGGCCAGCCTTGGGTGCAGCCACATTTGAAATGCTTCTGTGAAGTTTTGGGGCATTCTGTTACTACCTGCCATGGAACCTGGGGTACCTTAATGCAGTGCTGCTGTGGCTCAGAACCCCGATACCAGTAGCCAGCCTACAAGCATAAAGGTCTCATGTTGGCTTCCACCAACATAGTTACTTCTTGCAGGGTAACCCCCACAGTCCTTCTAGTCCTGTGTCTTCCCATAAGTTCACAACCGCAGTCCGGGTACATATCTCATAATGACCATCAGGTACAAAACATTACCCATTTTCATGGAAGACCTTAACATATTTTTATAGCACAGGAACATTGTATACAGTCAGTTGATTCAAAGTTTAATTTTGGGGGATTCAGACTCCCTGTTCGCCTTGTAGCGTGACTGGATTCTGGTTGTCACACCTTCAGCCTGCATTCAAGTGGTCAGATATCAGAAGAACAGCAGGTTGTACACCAGCCAGCCCCCAGTACTTCAGAAGTGGCTGGGCTCTTTACAGTTTTATATTACTGCAAAAACTGAATTGGGGTCTGCCTCTTAAGTAAGGCCTGGGCTACATACACAGAGAAGTACAGGTTTAAATAAAGGTGTGATATTGATACCAATATGTTTAAACCTCTGAAAGTATGGCTTATACCAGTTTAGTTTATATGGGTAAATTTTACAGGTGCAAGCTACATTGATTCGCTGGGCTCGCCAAACCGTGGCGAGCCCTGCTCACCAGCTGCACTGTCTGGCGTTCTGCACATGCGCAAATCACCCGAACCCGGCTCTTCCGGGTTACAATCTACTCGCCACAGGCGAGTAGATTGTATAATTTGTCGAGCCCTGTTGATTCACATAGTCAGTTTTAAACAGCTATAGCTGTGTATCTATGCTGGAGCTTGCATTAATTTCTTTTTTTAAAATTAATGCAATGTCTATGTAGAGGAATCATAACAGTAAAATCTAAAGCAGCTTGCGAAGTGCTGCAGGTGACATGGAACCAGTTGGTACATGCAAAGACATGTAATTTCCATATAGAAAAAAAATAATTAAAATTAAGGGCCTTTCCCTATTCTCCAATTTCATTTCTTTAATGGGTTTATGGATGTTGTAATAAACACATGCCATCTATTTCCTGCTTCAGTTTGTCCTGTAAAATGTGACCACTAAAAGCCTGAGAGCTCAGATCCGCCTGCTGTAAATGACAGACTCCTGCCACTTGAAATAAAGGAAAATCTATTTGCTGTAGTAGTACAGGGCCTGTGACACACACTTGAACAATTCTGATTCCATCCAGTCAAAGGTAGTGGTAGCAGACAGGGTAGCAAATACATTTCAGTATCTGCTATGTAAAAGGAATAATAAAATAATAAGGTTAGTGATTATTGTGTCTGGTCCAATTCTACATTCTGTTTGGGCCTCTCTTTGGTGATGTCATACCTGTTTAAATCCCGAATGGTCAGGATACAAAGCTATATTGTAATGTGAAATAAGTCCTGCAAATCAGGTGGGGCCTGCTCTTTCTGAGCTTCCTACTTCCAGCTGTTGCTGGTAATCCTCAACCTTTTAACTCAGCTGTGTGGTGTGGTGTAAACACTAACTCTACTGATCTTAGAGCTTGCATGTGGGAACACTGGAATACAAGCACAACAAGGAAAGATCAGGTCGCTCCATTTGTTGGCCAGTGACTTGGTCCCTATTGGCCACTCCTGAATATTCATTTGTTCCCTTCCAGATATCCAGGAGTTCTGGTAAGGCTGTGTTTGTTTTGATTGGGAGGGATCATTACACTGATAAATTGAAGTACAGATTCAAATTTTAATTCCATTCCCTTTTTGTGTATTTCTCTGCTTTACTTTGCCCCTTTGACTAACTACCAAATAATTTTGTGCTTCAATAAATGGTCCTTCCCTCAATATCAGTTTTTCCAACAGCGATAGCCCCCGATGGTGATACCACAGCCATTCCTGAAGCTGAAATCCTCATTTATGATTCCACAAACCGGGCTTTCCATGGGTTATTCTGCTGTGTGACAGGCCTTCCCCATTACAGTTTTGACAAATGCCTAGTGCCAGGCTCCTCAGATGGATAGTCTGTAGTCAGTGATGGTTGGCTCTTTGCTATGAAGAGACAGAGGGTTTCTTGCCCAGTGATGTGAACAGCTGTGTCTGGTGCATGCTAATGCGTGGGGAGCGGTTAATGGAGAAAACAGCTTGCCATAATAAAAAATCCTGCAACCTGTGGTCAGACTCACCATGGAGAACTCCTGTACACCTTGCTGCAGGAAAAGGGTGAGGAGAACTCACGATCAAATTTCCCAGGGTCCTTTGTACCACAATGAAGAGGAAATTTAGAGAATGGCTACCAGGGTAACTTAATCAAACAGTCTTGTTGAAAACCTTGAAATACACAAAACACATTCCAAAGTGGTTTAGTCATATGTATGGACACTTTGACAAAAGAAATCTGTTTCCAAGAAGAGAAATTATTTTCGCTCTGTCTCAGTGAGAATCCTGATGTTACTCATAAAATGATGCTGCCCCCCCGAGCAATCCTTTCACTACTCCAACACCACAACTAAAATACTCTGAATAAAGTGTTGTCAACCTTAAACTGAAAAATCCAGTGCAATATAAAACTACATGCAGCTGGTCATTCTGAGGGCAGCCGGTAATGGGAGATCTTAATGTTTCTCTTTTGCACATAATGGTGAAGAGTTGGGATTCAAACCCCAAAAAGTGCACTTCCACAGTGTTGAGGACCACTGGGGAGTGAATGGATCCTTTGTTCTGTGAAATTGAGCCCACAGTGCAGACTGTTGCCAGCAGGATACATAGGGTGATACTCATGTGGAATAGGCTGAATATGGCTGAAAGTTCTGTTCATTGATCACCTACCAAATCTCAGTTGGATGCTCACAGAGTGCCTCCCATTGCCAGGCTGCTGCTTGCAATAGAGGTAGTCTGAAGTGAAGCTAGCGTGATTCAGCTTCAGAGTGGAGTGGGAACCTGAGGATTATAAATGGTTGTGTGTCTGTAGATGCATGTATATTTGATACCGAGCTTTGTCTGTCTGTCTGTCAAACTGATCTTGGCAAATAATATTTTCTTTTTTCTTTCCTTATATTTCCTTTCCGGTGGTGTGTTTCCTTTCTCTTCCTCTTTTTTCTCCCTCTTTCCACCTTGTCCTTCCTCCCTTCCTACTCACACCCTGATCGGTCACATCCTTGGTCTGCTAGCTGGAAACCTGAGGCTACAGCAGATTGTAAATCCAATTGATCCCCTGGAGATCCTGGCAGATGTGCACTGGACACACATCCGCGAGAAAGAGGAGGAGGAAAAAATGGTCCCAGTTTCAAAGTCCTCCACCTCCAGAGGTAATCTCCCTGGTGCATCAATCCCCAGATCACAGTTGCAGCTGTTTGACCCTGTTGCTTCTGGTCCTTTCAAGCACAACCTTCATCAGAAGGGTGAACAGTGATTCAGAGGCTCTGCCTCCTGAAGCTAAACGCTTATTTAACCATTTTATTTTTGAGGTGGGTCTCCATTTGAGTCACCGCTTCTCTATGACGCCATGACATGGTGAACTTTCCTGGCTTGTGTATCTAGTTAGAAGCCTTGTAACATTCTGCTACCGGATGGGAATTATTTGAATTTGCTCGTTGCAAGCTCCTCATAACAAAATGTAAAGGTTCCAGATTTGACAGCGAACAGTTCAGCCAGTTGTGTTCCTTTGGGACGGCTTTAGTGAGTCCAGACCTTGGCAAAACAAAAGTAACTTATTCTGAAAGGCTGAACAATTTTAGCTTCTACATTGAAACGTTCTGCTACTGCTTTTCAAACTTTGTAACTGCATCTGCCAGGGACCTGGTATCTTCAGGGAGTGGTGAAAAGTACAGAGGACCCGAGGAGCTAACCAGTTGCTGTTTGGCTCTTTGTATTGGCATTTGATGGTATTTTTATCAGCCAAGGTGCCATTTTAGCAGCTAAGGTGCCATTTTATTTTAAGGCCACTTTGGAGATGGGGGGGGGAATAGAGAATGGTGAGACCCTCTGCAATATCTCATAAATCTGATTGTGATTCACTTTCCACATTATTCCCACACCTAGGATTAAGATCTTGTCAGATGTCTTGAGTAGAGATGTAAGCGGCTAGTCGGCTCTCTGATAAACTTATCGGATAGCTTACATACTAGTCGACTCCTTGCTCCCCCCCGCCCTCCCTTGCTGTCTCTATCAGAAAGAGGCAGCCAGGGCGGAGAAGTGGAGGAGTTGCTGCGGGGAGCCGGCTTAAAAGCTGGTTCCCTTCCAGCTCCATAGGAGGGGGCAAGGACACAGAAGTGGCGTTCCAACTTTAAAATGTACAAGTCCCCGCTGGGGCTCTTGTACATTTCAAAACAGAAGCACTGCATGGAGCCTGTGGACAGTGGGAGACTCAGTCCCCCGCTGGCCCCAAGCTCCATGCAGCATTTCAAAGGCGGAATGCCAAACGACACTTCCACCTTTGAAAAGTAGCAGCAGCCGGGCGGGCTCTTGCTGCATTTAAAAGTGGAAGCGCCCTTATCGACTAATCAAATAGTCGATGGAAATTCCATCGACTATTCGATTAGTTGATTAATTTTAACATCCGTTGTATTGAGCTAAGCAGGGTGTGGCCTACTTCCCTAGTATTAGGAGAGCTGTAAGGAATGCTATCAGAGGAAAACAAAGCAAACACTTTGTGGTGTTTCATTCAGTAGGAGGCAGTGTTCCCTCTAAGTCCATACCAAACCAGTGTATCAGAATGGTTTTAGGAGAACTGTGTTTCAAGAGGTGCTATCTTTCCGTGGAAATTTAAGACCAAGGTACTGACAGCTTGTATTAAAAATCACATGGTATTTGTTATAAGAACTGGGGGGGAAAGGAAGGTCTTAACTCTTTTTCTCTCAACACTTTTTTCCCAGTAATTTCATTCTGCCTATAGTTGCTTGGTAGTTTTAGGTGGGTGTGGTTTTACTTCCTGGTGTGTGCATTTATTATTCAGTGCTGCATTTCACCCCAAAAGTGGCTAAATTTCAGTGGTGGGGGAAATTATTCTGATGATAGTTAGTAAAGTGTTTTGTACAAACAAAGAGAGGCTAAATAAAGTCAACCAGAAGGACTTTAACTCACTCCTGCATTGTAAGCTACCAGTGTCCCATTTTTAAATCTCAGCTCCTCTCTGTGACACTCTGAGCTGCTTCCAGGATGTACTGTCACAGTTGTCCATAAAGTGAAGGAAAACCTGTGCTGACCCTTCCCCATTATGCAGATGGTCCCTTTCATGGCATTTCCAGCTTCCTTCAGGAAATAGGCAATGTTTGCTTGCTTAAAGAATATGCCAGATTGGGAGCTTGATGTTCACGGACCCATAATTTAGATGCTTTAGTTTATAGCTTTAATCAAGGTGTATTCAACTGTAGTAGCAACTTCTAAAGGGACTGATGCAAGGTGTGGCTGTGTGGATGCTCCACAAATTTCACTTGTCAGTTTGATTTCAGTATGTGGTCACAATTGAATAGTTTCCTCCCACACATGCTGTTTAGAGAGTACTTCAGAACCATTCCCTGGAGCAGACAGTTAGATCTAAAGGTTCAGAGCAACACTGCTGATATCCAGGAAAGCTAGTCTGTGATCTCTTGTGCTCCAGTAGGAATTCTCCCTTATTTGTAAGCATCCAAACTCAGGATGCTGAAATTAATACAGACATTAGCTTTTGTAAGCGCTATTTTTATGGTCGTACTCCATCTTATAGCTTCTTTTGTCAGCTTGACCAAAATGGCTGGAATCTGCAAACAGGACACCGAGGACATGTTCAGTTCTCAATTACACCCTTATCTTCCATGGATCCTAAAAGCAGATTTGGTATTTATATCTCATTAACTTAATTTAACCCTCAAACCCAGTCTCCGTCATCTAACAGTGTCTAAGTTTTAATTCTGTTCTTGGTTTTGAGGGCTTTCTCTTGAGTGGTTTCAGTTTCATACACTTATTTGTGTCTAACTTTTGATTTACTATCATTATTTATTGTTTTTTTAAATTCAGCATCCGACCTTCCCTCGGTACGCCTTGAGGCGGTGCAGGCATGGCTGGAGACGTTCCCTGGAGGTAGTTTGGTGTTGTTCGTTCTATACGGATTCAAAATAACCCTGCCCGCCCTCTTTCCATGCCTTCAGCAGCTGAGCTGGTACCTTAACACTGGATCTATGGCCCTGTTGCTACTGCATGTCCAGGAGGGGGAATGTGCATGCATGCCTCGCTCACAGTCCATTCTCGCATGAACTGGACTTTCATCTTACCCTTTGCAAAGGCAGGCCATACAGAAAAGAATCTTTAGTGTAATGAAGAAGTAGGTTAAACATTTTGATTTACATTATAAATTGAGGAGAAATTAAGTCATCCTTCCCCACCCATTGACAAAGACATCTTGGAGCTCTCTTGGAGGAGAGTGAGTCCTTCAGGCAGTGCTTGAAGCAAATTACAGTTTTCTGGTGAGGTGACCAAGAAATATGTCAGTTAAGCTAGCCAGGAACTCTTCAGGGCCAGGAGTGACAATGGAAATAGCCATGCTCCACAAACCTGAAACATGTTCCCCAGCTAAGCACCAAGGGAGTGGAAATATGCTAAATGTCATCTGATCTTCCTAGATCGTCCCCTAGAATCTCTTACAAAATCAGTGAGTATGGAGATGGGGAACAAAGGGTTGTTTAGCTCTGTAAATTAAAGACATACAGTAGATCGGGGTAACTTGTGTGACCTCTAGCCGAGTAGGAACAATTAGCTCACCTCTAAAATGTAGATCCTGTAACTGTGACGGCAAGGCGGCAGCATTTATGAGATAGCTGCACATCACCCCATCAAGTCCCGGCTGCTGGCCGACAAGGACAAAATGCTGACTCTGTAGTTTCTGGCTGCCATAGTGTATAGTTTAGCAGTTACTGTGTGGCAACTTTTGTCCTCTTGCTCCTCATCCTAACTGCACATACGTATATGCACACTGTATATATAACTATAACCACCCACCCTCTTATCCTGTTCCGCAAGCTCCAGGTCCTTCAGAATGGGCTGCTCATTGCACCAGTGTGCTACTTATCTATGCATCCATAAAATATGCTGCTGAATTTTGTATTCTTAAGGTATCATAAAGGATTTATTTTCATCTATTTGATCCTCATTATAGGAAAGTGCACCACAATTTCCAAATGGAAAAACCAGCATACACATAGCTAGGGCCAGTGTCAGGTATTCACCCTTTTGAAGGTGACGTTTTTACACATTTTGTGACAGTCATTCACATTTGATGTTTTTACCTGAAACAAGTTACTGTGGCAGTAGCTGGTATGTAAACGCAGCAAGCAGGTCAGTAAAGCGCCAGGTGTGAGGAGGGAGAGGGAAGGCTGATTTAGTTTAGAACATCTTTAGATGTCTCAGTGGGAAGCCTTGTCCTTACAGCTGTGACTTAGCCTTCATGTTCTAGATCTGTAAGATTCTACACATTACAAAGCCTTTGGTTTAAGGGGGGAAGCCATGTCATGCCCCTTTTAGATGACAGGAAGGCATCTTGTAACAGCTGTTTAAAAAAAGCCAGCAAGCCATGTGCCTCTCCACTGCCATGATGCAACAAAGGCGGCAAGAGTGGCATAGAAGAAATTCTCAGGTTGAAGGGGTCGGACAACGCTCCTTTCAGTAGAACAGAAAGTCAGTGTCATGCTTTGAAGACCAATGAAGCAAAGAGCCTCTATTAGAAAAAGAGGAGAATGTGTGTGGAAAATGTCAAGATGCCTGCTTGCTCTTTCTTAGACTGTCGTGATTAGTTTTAGCATTAAGGATGTGAATGGTTAACTGGTGGGGGCTGGAGCAGCTCCCCACCTGCAGGACTGACCACGGGTAGGAGGTACTCCAGCCCAGCCAAAGCAGCCACTGTTGGCAATGGGGAGGAGTTAAACATTGCATTTAACTAGTTAACCAATTAAATGGGATTTTACATCCCTACTTCGCACTGGCATCATTTACATCATGGGGCCAGAATTTTAGTATTGTGTGCATATAGTTTGCAGCATGATTACAGAGAATGCATGCTCATTTGCAATAATTGAGCATTCAACAACTTAGTTAAATGTCTAACATATCATTTGAGCCTGCAGTTGTGCTACTTATATGCACAAATCCTGGCCCAGGTTTGTGCTGTCTGCCTGTGCTATGGTTATGGCTAGGAGCAGATTTAAAACAAAAATGATTCAGCCCGAAGTTGTGGAAAGACCTTGAAGCTATGTGACAGACAGCCACATCCTTCTAGCAGTTCAACCCCTAATATCTGAGATAGGATAAGATGTAATAATGGAAAGAGTTACAGGAGTTTCTGGGTTTCTGTGGAACATCATTTAGCAAATTAAAGGTCACGCGAGAGGGGCCACGTGATCCCCTCTAGAATTAAATCCTCTTCTGCGCAGTGTTGTCAAATGCCTTCTTTGGGTTTATAAATTCAGGAATCTTCCCTTGCATTGATCTTGCAAAACAGATTCTGGGCTCTGGCACAGAAGAACAGACTTTTTGTGCATCTGTTATTCACATTAAAATATCAGAATATCATCCGGGCCTTGTCTGTCTGCCCTGCAGCCTGGACTCCACCAAACACTTCTATAGTGTTTCAGCAGCACAGAAATTAAACACTTTCCAGATGCTCAACTCTTCTCATTGGTCACTTCATCTGACTTCAGGTCCTTGAAACATCTTTGTTTCTGCTGCTAGGCAAGTAATTATATTTGAATATGAGATTGCAGTTTGCAACTTGCATACATCTGCTACAGTGGAGTAACTGCAGTTCCTTTGTGGTGCTGATACTACATTGCAGCCACAACCAAGCATATTCCATTAGAGCTTTCCCTGACCTCCTTATTTAAAGTCTCACTCCAATATGCCTTGGCTCAGAATAGGAGATGCTGGTAGTTCATAAGGCCGATCCCTCTGAAGTGCCTTGAAAACCTTACAATGTCAGTGTCTATGATAAAGTTCCTCAAAATCACAAAACCTTTGACTGCTAGGACTGAAGGCTTGAAATGCCGGTTGATTATATGGCCTCAGAGCTCCTAGTTGCAGTAACAATGAGTAAATATTGGCACTCGAGGCACTTGGCTTTCTTCGAGCCTTGGAAACTAAGGCTTTCCCTTGTATAGATTTTTCTCTCTCTCTCTCTCTCCCCCCCAATACTTTAATGCATTCTAGCCCCATTTGAGGAGAATGAAGTGGAGGACGAGGTGTGCACAGAGCCTGCAGATACAGAAGGAGAAGCAGGTGAAGAAGGAGACACAGGTGCAGAGCTGGACGATGGTATGGTGCCACAGTATATCACTAAACCTCATTATGGGAGCAGGGTCTTGTGTAAGGGTGATCCAGTCAGAGCCAATCTGTATATGTGGGAGCTCAGTGAAGAAAAAAGAAAAGTAGAAATGAAGTGTGAAATGGAGCTGAAGAACTGTAGTGCCATGGATTCTGGAAGACATTGCTTACAATCACTCTATTAGAGTCCTTACTGTCATGAGTAGTCTTTCTGAATGAAGGAAGTGAGTGTTCATGTGGGAAAAGGCAGTAGGGCTAACTCCAAAACCTTCCCTTGCCAGCATGAAGGAAACTGCAGATACTGGAAGGTATAGGGAAACTTCCAATGTTAACCGTGAAACGTATGAAACAAAGTAGGGACCTAATTAGTATCACCTTAGTAACTAGTTAAGTAACCCCAGTTAGCATATAATAAAGGAATAGGAGAGTTAGGTTCTCAGGTACCACCGCGAATAGTGCCCTGTATGGAAGTAGATAGAGTAATAGAAAGATTTCGAAAGTAAGTGGCTGTTCTTGTGGCCTTGCATTCGAGACCTCCTCCTTTCTGTCATCTTTCTTTTCCCACTCAGATCAAAGATGGTCAGATGACATCCCATCTGAGGCAGAAGATGAGTGTCACTTACCTCAAGGGGACATGAAAGAGCCAGAATTGAAAGTCTTCGAAGATGAGGATGAGCTAAAAGCCGCTGCTCCTTGCAGTCTGACAGAAGGTAAACACTTCATCTCTGTATCCTGCAGTCCAGAAAGACTGATCATTTCTTTGAATTGTTGAATTGAGCTATTGGTGAAAGCAGTCTCTTCAATTAAATTTGAACCATGCCATTATTTTCAGTGCCTTGCATATGCTTGCATTTGTATTCTGAGAAAGGTGGTGTGATACCATGAGCTACATCTTCCAAAAGCATCAGGGAGCCCCCAGAACCTCAGATCCTTTTGAGTACTTTTGGGCTATTTGCCTGTATTGTTATGGTCACATACAGATATTCATACTCCAGAGGGATCATCTAGAATGTAAAGGGCTAGTGATTTGCTCACGGTTTACAGTGCTTCACATGGATTTAGAATGTTAAAAGAGTTCATTTGTTTGGGTTTTTTATACATTCTTCATTTTCCCTAGATCCATGCAAACCTTCCACCCTCATCTGCTCACCCAAGGAGAGTTCTATTCCTCTGTCCCCAGTTGGGAGTCCCAGCACAGAAAAAATAGAGGTAAAAGTTTTTGGTGCTCTTCAAATCTATGTTGACATCAATTATGGGTCTATATTCTGTATATTAGTAGAACAGCTTGTATGACCTGATTGTGATAATTTTTGCTTCTTTATCTGGATGACATAAATTGTCCTCTGACAACTTGAGACCTGATTTCATATTTTTCTCTATATATTTAAAAAAACGCCTTTCCTATGAGGCAACAGAGTGATGTCATCACATCACTCTGTGTCTACAGGAACAAGCCCCGCACACTCCCAGTCTGGATGCTGCTGCCCTGGCTGGCCCTCCCCAGTGGCCGGGAAAGAGCCCTTGCTGCCATGTCTGGCTTGGCTCCAGCCCTCCTCCAGGGGCCGAAGGGGGGGGGGGCCGAGAGATCGCTGCCTGTAGCTCGGGGCAGGGCCCAGAGGCTAGTGGTGGCTGTGGCCCGGGGAAGGGAGGCGAGAGGCTGGGGCTGGCTGCGGCTGGAGGGGGGAGCAAGAGGCCAGGGTTGGCTGTGGCCCTGGCCCTTCCCTCACCTCTCCAGCAGCTGGAGGTGGGGGCGAGAGGCTGGGGCTGGTGCGGCCCTGGCCCTCTCCACCCCTCCCCCAGGGGTGGGGAACAAGAGGCCAGAGCTGGTGCAGCCACAGCCTTCCTCTCCCTGGTGGCTGGGGGAAGAGCTAGCCCTGCCTACCCCCAGAGACCGGGGGAGGGGTTGGCGAGCGTAGTGAGCAGGGAACACAGCTCCTGTTGATTTTAAAAGAAAAATAGTTACTTTTTTTCTTCTGAACAAGTTCACAGTGAAGTGACTGATCAGTAGAACAAGTGTCTAATTTTAAAGGCAAAGAAAAAGTTACTGGATATTCTCCCCTCAGTGGACTCATGTAGCAAGCAGGAATTATGTATCATGGATATATACAGCGACAAAACTGGTCATTGTCCAGTCTCTGCTTGAGTCAGTTCAGTCACTCTGAGTTCCCTCCACAGCAGTGTCCTGTCAGATTCATTTGTGTATAAGCTGAATGAAGACAAAGGTTATAATTGAGACACCCTGATTTATCTTTTACTCATTTCAGTGCCATTTCAGTTAGAACAATCAAGTTTCCTATGCCACTGCTCTATAGCGACAGGCAACAAGAACACATTGACAAATGCATGGATTGATTTGCTGTTTTAATGGGAAAGAATGTAAATACAGTAAAACTCTTGGTTTTGGAGAAACTTTCCTAGTATACTTTCTTTAGACCCTTTTTGTGGTTTATAGAACACTAAAAATCTTTTGTTTCTACATTTCCATAGAATGTAAAGGATTCCCTCACAGTACTGCCTTGCATGGACAGATCTCCAGAGAAACGCTTTTTTCCTGAACCGTTCATCATTGAAGAAAATCCAAAAGATGAAATCCTTGAAGATCAGACAGTTAAAAGCCCTTCTGTTTCTGTTTCTCTTTCTCCAATACGGTCCCAACCAGTTGCGTTGCCAGAAGCCATCACACCTACATCACCAGCACAGTCTCAGCCAGCAACACCTCTGTTGGCTTCATCCCCCCCCTCTGTCCAGTTGCCTATCTGTTCCCAGCCTCTGCCATCTGCGGAAGCACCCATTCCATCTCCAGTGGAACCTCCAGTGTGCTTTCAGCCTGCACCAGCCTTAACATCCACTCCTCTAGTCCAACTTGCCCTGAAGAGTCAAGATAATGAGGTGGAAAAATTGGGGAGCCCTACTTCTGCAGAAGAAGCCTTGAAACGGAACAATCTCGTAGAGGAGTTCTGGATAAAGAGTGCTGAAATCCGGAAGAGTCTAGGGCTCATGCCAGTGAACAGAAGCAAAGTGTCAGAGCCTAGCTTTACTGTCTCAGCCCTTGAGTCAGCTCCACTGAGTGTTTCAGAGGAGGAAGTGATCCATCTTGTAAAACCCCAGCCTGCCCCAAGAAGGCTCATCATGTCCAAGTTAGACAATGAGCAATTGTCTCTGCTGACTCCAAAATCTCCCTCAGACAAAGAGCTGAAGAGTTCCAATGAAGTAAAGAGAGATCTATCCAGCAGCTCTGGATTGGGTCTGCATGGGAGCTCATCCAACATGAAGACATTGGCTAGCCAGAGCTTCAATACTTCTGATTCTACTATGCTCACTCCACCATCAAGCCCTCCTCCACCACCTCCTCAAAATGAAGCTCCAGCAACTTTGCGTAGAAAGAGGCATCAGACAATTTGGCAGAGTGAGACAGAGTCTAAGCCAGCACCAGCACCAGCACCAACACCTCCTGCTCCCTTACCTTATGAGCACAACCCTCCTGCCAAAGAGTCAACCCAGGCCTCAAAAGAAGAGGTGCGGAAGTCGTTTGTGGAGAGTGTGGATGAAATTCCATTTGCTGATGACGTAGAAGACACTTATGATGAGAGAACTGAGGATACAAGTCTTCATGATAAGTTCTTCACGCCCCCTACCAGTAGGCAAAGGCCAGAGAAGCCTCTTCACCTGCCATTGGTCAAAGAGAATGGAGGACCACTATCAATGGAAGGAGGAGCAAACCAAAGAAAGAGGGTGCTACCCCAAATCTCTCCAGAAGCCAAGGAGCTAGCTGAGGAAAGAATGAGAGCCCGAGAGAAGTCTGTAAAGAGTCAGGCATTGCGAGATGCCATGGCTAAACAGTTGTGTAAGATGAAAGATCTGGAGATGGCTGCAGCTGCTGGGGCCACCAAGGCACGGAAAGCCTCCTCCATGCCTTTGAAGCCCAAAGAGATGGATTTTGAGTCCTCGGGACGTTTGGCCATTAAAGTTGTAGAGGGCCCCACACTGAAACATGATGCTGCTAATGAAAGATTCCTCTCTCCCCCTGCTGATGTTGCTGGGCCAGAAGGGTCTGTCACCTCCTCAGAGGGCTCCAGTGGGAAAAGTAAGAAAAGGACTTCTCTCTTCTCCCCTCGTAAGAACAAAAAGGAGAAGAAATCCAAGAACGACAGCAGACTTTCTGACAAATCCAGTGGTGTTGCTGAGGAAGCCACCAAGCCCAGATCATTGTGGAAGTCTGTTTTTTCTGGGTACAAGAAAGATAAGAAGAAAAAGACTGATGACAAATCTTGCCCTAGCACTCCCTCCAGTGGTGCCACAGTGGACTCTGGGAAGCACAAGGTTTCCCCAATGGTTAGAGCAGCAGGTATAGTACATCTGCCTGTCTGCACACTGTACTTTCACCTCATCTGGAAAGTTTCTGAAATGTAGAAGTCCCAAGTTGCTATCCCACACTGCTGTGCATCTGAGTCACTCTCCTTTGCCTAACGTGCAAATGGTTTACCCTTGAGGATAATGGGATAAGCACATATTTGTTTATAAAATAAATAGCATATCAGTGGGGGAAACAGATTGTCAAATAGCAAATGTGGTCCTTTACTCTTCTGTTCATATGTCCCAGAGTACAGGGGTAGTAATTTTTCTGCCTTTCCCTGACTCAAAAGGCTGGAGTTTGCCACTTTTCAAACTTGTTTTAACTCCTGTCCTGGCTGCCCACCTTGACTATTCATTCAATTCCCTTGAATCTGGCATGGCAAACTATGCAGGGTTTTTTGAGACTGATATAAATGTTCCTTTATTCATTAAAAGGTACATGGATGCTCAAAGGAGCATGGAGCTTTAGTTACTTTCTCTCCTCTTTGCTCCCTGTGTGGCTTGGGGACCTGTCAGCTCTCCATAGCCTTACAAAACAGGGATTATGGGGTCACCCATAGATACGAATCGCCCATCGCCATCAGATTGCCTCAGAGCATTTGAGTGACAACTTGAGACTCTTGTGCCATACTAACGCAGTTATCTATAAATATGGGCCAAATCAGAGGTACCTGTCACTTCTTTTGACTCAGGCCAAAGTGGAGCTGGACAAAATGAACTTAATCCCTGCTGCTATCATCTAAATGCCTCTTTGTAGGGACATTAACCTGGGTGGAGGGAAATGAAGCTGTGCTATGTTCAGCATCATTCTCGGATTTACCTCCTACAGAAGGTGGTGCTTCCTTAGAAAGAAACTCCACAGTCAGTGTTGCCACAGTCAGTGTTCTGGTATCACTTCATGGAGTGGTGCTCCCAGCATGGTATTTCCAGCTAGTGCAGCAGTGAGGTGTGACTGTTATAACTGTTTCAGAAGTATAAGTCAAACAGGAGCAAGGCCAAGCTCAAAAGTATCTGCAGAGAGACAGAAACACAATAACTGTGACTACTCTTCTAACCTTGTCATCCCATTCTTCTGTCTTTATTGCCTCTTTTCTCAGATTTGCAGCTCCGTCGACACCTAAGCTTCTCGGAGGACTCGGACCTCTCCAGTGATGATGTTCTTGAACGATCTTCTCAGAAGTCCAAGCGAGAGGTAGGAAGACCATTTAGATAGAGCTGCCATAATTTGGATATAGACTCAGAACCATAACAGCATTTACCAGAATTAACTTTATCATTCTTACTCTTTTTCCTGCAGATGGTGTTAATATAAGATTGGTTGAACAATAAACCTGAAATCAGCCAGTTAATTTCAATAAGTCAGATTCTCTGTTGCCATCTGTTGTTTCACTGCCTTACGCACAGGCATTATGTGTTTATTGCCTCGTTCTGAGAGTAGGATGGTTTTTTTCCCCTAGAAAGAACATACAATCTCTAGCGATGGGAAATTCGTATCTAATGAGTATATCTTACTTATATATCTAATGTTACTACAGATATGTTCCTTTGGCTTCATTTCCTGATGAAGATCTAGTTTTAGGATGTTGTTGTACCATTCTTCTATTCAGTAGATTAATCTGTTGAAGTTTGAGGCAAACTGCATACAGGTAATAGTCTGCATTCAACAAAGAGGAGCAAGCAACAGGTTTATGGTTTGCAGCATGGCATGAGTGTGTGTATTTTCCCAGGAAGATGGGGATCTACATGTTAATCTTCTGTCTGGAGAGGGTGAGCCTGCCCCTATTCCTCTCCCATTTTGTCCCTGCTCCGTTTGAGTGATTCATGGCAATTAAGCAGTATTTCCAGACGTATCTCTGTAGGTTTAACCAGTAGTTATGAAACTGAAATAGGAAAAAGGTGCTTTTGGATAAATGTGGATTTGAGCACAGGTTTGTTCTCATTGTACAGGTAAGGGCTGGGTGTGCTCACAGATTTGTGAGAGAAAGAAGTGTCTCCTTAGGCATGAGCAGCTTCCTTTGGCTTATGTTGTAGAGTTCTGGAGTGAGCCTCACTGCCCCTCCTCTGCCAAAGGAAACTTCAGTGTGAAATGGGACTCAGTGGGGAGTAGAAAAGTAAAGAAGAAATGGAAGGAGCATCTGCTGGACCTCCACAAACACCCAAAAAAGAAACATGTCATTTTGCTGGGACCAGGGTGTACTTGTGAGCAAGAGACTTGGCAGGAACTGAGGGGCACCTGCTTTTTCTTTCTCTCTACCTCGTGTATTCATTAAGTAAATAAGAGAGTGGCTGTGTTTTCATTGTTTCATTTGAGCAGGGAAAATATAAAGCAAAAACAGTAGAAGTGAAAGACAAAAATGTAATGCTAAATCACAGAGTGGATGCTAGAGTGGAGGGAAACTGCCACTGTCGGAGGGGTTCATGCACGTGCCCTGCAGGTTTGGGGTGTGGGGATTGGATATAGGCTTTTTACCCACAGTAGCATGATCCTCAACTCAAGCATGCACTGGAGAGAGAAGTGAGTTCTCTCCCGTCCCTTCTTTCTCTCCCTTGTGCTTGGATCCCAGGCTATGTCTGCACTAGAAATGTTTCATTTAGTTTAATCAACTAGTTGATGGAATTTCCATCAACTAGTCAATTAGTCAATAAGTAGGGAAGCTGCAGCGGGGTTAGCTCCCAGCCCCAGGAGCTAACCCTGCTGTGGCTCTGCCTTTTAAATGCATTAAGAGCTAGCAAGCTCTTAATACATTTAAAAAGCAGAGGCGCATCATCTGGGATGGGGCACGAGCCAGGAATAAGCTGATTCCCAGCACACGCCCAGTCTCCGTTACCCTCCTGCCTCCTCTGCCCCCCGCAGAGACAGTGCTTAGGGAAACCAGCTTTTAATCTGGCTTCCCCCAGCACCAGCTCCTGCTCTCCCCAATCTTGCTGCCTCTGAATGAGGCAGCAAGGGGGGGAAGCGACTGGTCGAGGGACTAGTTGACTGTCTGATAAGCTTATGCTTATCGGATAGTTGACTAGTCGCTTACATCCCTAGTCTGCATTTCAAGCTGGAGGTGTAATTTTGTCTGAGGAGACATACTCCTGCTAGCTCTGGTCATGCTGCTTTGCTAAAAATGTGATTGTTGCCATGGTGTCAGGAGAGGCTGGCTGCTCAAATACGTAGCTAGCATGTGAGCAGGCCCTCTCGGATGTCCAGAGAGGCTGGGCCACTTCCAGCTTTTATGGCCCCTAGCAATAATAATGATAATAAATGACGACACAGGAAAACAAAATAACGCACCAAAAAAAAGAGACATAATTTGAATATTTTTTTATTTATCAAATTATTTTTCTAGCCTTTTTCTGTACAAATGCACTAATTATTGAGGAAAAATGTAGCTTTCATGCAATGTCACAGCTGATACTAAGCATGGCGAGCCCATTCCAGTGCTCTTGTCCCACAGAAGTTCTTTACCTGCTTCAACATGTTGAAGGAGCATTCACTTAAAGCCCCTGGGATACAGGCGAACTGATAAAACTATACAATTCAATTGTGATACTAGGAAATACCCCCAAGAGTCCAAGTTCGATTATTTCTTGAAGCAACTCCTTTGGCTTGCAATCCAGTTTAAAGTTCATGGAATATATTCAGTTGAGGAAGATGTCCTCATCAGTGAGATCTTTTGCGATTTCTTTGTAGTACTGTTGCTGAAATTGGTCAAAATCTGATCAGTTAACAAAAAAATTGTCTTTTACCAAACTGCATTTCTAATTTGTTTAAATTTGCAGCTCTAAACTGACAGACTGTGTCATATTTTGGTCTGAGAGGGATGCACATAAAAATAAGCTGTGAAACTTATCAAACGTCAAAAAATTAACAAGTGTCTAAATTAGGCTACCTCTACTATCATCAATTCACAGACACTTACCTTCCCTCCTTCCCCCCCCCCCCCCCCCCCCCCTTCTGCCTGGCCCTGCATGAGGGATGGGACCACACACTTCCAACTCATGGAAGAAAAGGAGCCTCGGAGGGCTGTATCACAACTGTCCACTCTGATGGGGAGCAGCTCTCCCCACCTTTCACCAAGCCTGGAGAAATCAATGGCAAATGCCAGGTTAAGGCAGATGTCTGATTTATTTGGGGAAGGTCTCAGCTGACTGGGGAGGTTGTGAAGAAGTGCAAGTGGAAATACGGCAGAAGACAATTTCCATTTACATTTTTAATTATGATGAGATGAAAATGTAGTAAGAGTAACTAATGAAAATTCTCATAAACATGGCAAACAGAAGGATTAATGTACTGAAGTGAATGGGACTCCTCCTTGCTTCATTAAACCTCTTTAGGCTTCCCTCCCTGTATCTTATATAAGTAGTTGCCTCTGCTGAGAGGAGGGTTTTACTCTGGGAATTGTTCTTTATATTGGACCCCTTTCTTCTATTTGTTTTTGCTTCTCTCCCTCCTTTGCTTTCCCTTGAGGTGTTTCATGACAAGTTCCGACTTGCATCTGAGATGCAGAAGGAGGAGGTACCTGGGGAAACAGAAAGAGATGCAGTATGGGGGGGTTCAGATAAAAGCTGTGGTGCTGTCATTCCTGTCCAGCTTGTGAATTTCTGGCTGGGGACTACAATAAGCACCATGTATATCCTCAGATTTGGGAGGGTGCTCTGGTGCCTCCATGTTGAGCGACTTTGATATAAATTGGCTTTTGCAGAAGAGACGGTGGTCACTGAGTATTTGAAGGCCTGGAAATGCTAGAGATGGTCTGGAATTCTTCATGTTGCCCAGCAAAAATATTATGCTTCCTTTTCATTTTCTCAGCTATTTTACCATAAGCAGCAAAATTTCCAGGGTGTGGTTTTCATGTCTGATGTTCTCCATTTGCTATGGCTGAGTTGCACTTAAGGTTCTCTTCTTTGCTCAGTGCCTGCCTCTGCTTTCCAGGAGCAAAATATGGGAGTGTGTGCACTCATCCAGAGGGAGCAGACCACAGACACATCAGCCCTTTGCTTCACAACAAATGTGTCTGGGGCTGTAAAACATTTATACCACTCTTGGCAAGTCTTGCTGCAGAAGGAAATGCATCCAGGGTAGGATTGTCAAAAGGGCAGCACTGATTTTTGAATGTGCTCCTTTTAACTATAGCCCAAATCAACCACTTATTTCTCCCATTGTGGGGGAAAAAGTGGCTTCCTTTATGCCACATAAGTTTTATCTGAACCCTTTCCAGGTTAAAATCCAGCTGATGTTGCTTTTGTGGTTGTTGTACTGAACTTGCTTTCCAGCAGGCTTGGTCTATTTATCCCATCCATCCTAGCATTAGCAATCAGCAGCGAATTAACTTTGTGTGGCTTAATGTGTTGCCTTTCAACAAAACCTTCATGTAAAGAACGTTGATGTCCTTCCTTGTGGGTTGTGCACTTACAAATGTGTGTTTGTGAGAGAGAGAATGTACACAATGTGGTGCAGTGCTCAAGAGATATGTTTCCTGCTGCAGATATTTTGCTGAATACTAAAAAGTTTGCATACATGTTCAGATTGTTCCTCAGCTTTTCATTCATGATTGGTTTAGTTAAATGAATGTTCTGCAAAAATGCTGAATGCTGGCACTTTCCCCAGAGTGGTGTCGTAGTGCTCTTTGTACCTCATTGCACAATGGAAATTCTCTTCCCTTAGACATACGGGGCAATAAAATCACCTTAAGGAGGCACAGGAGCTGGGATCATGCTTCATACCAAAGGTAGAAAGAGCACACTAATTCTGCTGGAGTTAGCACACCAAAAATAGCAGTGTGGCAGTGGTGGCTCAGAAATAATCCCACCCAACTCTCTGTGTTGCCCCATCTAGCTTGAGCTGTCACCTGAGCTGCTGCAACCACACTGCTATTTTTAGTGGTAGTGTGTGCTTGTTTGCCTCAAGCAAAGGTAGCGCATCTGTCTCCTACAAAGCACTCTCCCTACTGCTGGGAAGAAAGCAACTTTTTTTTTTTACTGAGTTGAAATTACAAGATTGAAGAGCCAGAGCATAAGAATGGCTGTACTGAGTCAGACCAAAGGTCCATCTAGCCCAGTAGCCTGTCTGCTGACAGTGGCCAATGCCAGATGTCCCAGAGGGAGGGATCACAACAGGTGATCCTCACGTGATAGCTCCCCTGTCTCCCACTTCCAGAGAAAAAGAGGCTAGGGATACCCTTCCTACCCATCCTGGCTAATAGCCATTGATGGACCTAGCCTCCATGAATCTATCTAGCTCTTTTTTGAACCCTGTTAAAGCAGAGTATTCAGACTTAGAGCACATCTCCTTACTCAGCTTTGGCTGTAAGGAACAGTTCCAATACCATTCAGCTGCATTTAGTACTCTTGGAGGAGTCCCACTCAGGTAGCAAGTCAGAGTGTCTATTAGCTTATGTGACGCAACACGCTCAGCACCCCAGGTAGTGGTCTTGCAGGTTACAAAGCCATGAGTGAGGCCATGGTAGTGGAATTTCAAGATTGTTTTTAGCTAGTAAGCAAGGGCCATACCTAAGTCATAAAGCACCAGGACTGAGAAATAAGATTGTGGAGCAGAAAGTAGATGAGGAAGGAGTACAACTGAATCAGCGTGTGATCTTGCGGCCATGCTGAATGTTGAACAAGCAGACGCAAGAGTGAGCCCCACTAGAATGCAGGCTTTATGATACGTGACAAAGGCAAAATCCATGGACAAGATACCAGATTGTATAAAGAGCACCATGGTAAGATATTTGAAAAGGCTTCTTCACCAAGAGATTAATTAATACGTAGAATGGACCCTTGTCTTAGTTATACATCTGTGCAGCATCTAGCTCAGTGGGTCCTCATCCCTGACTGGGGTTCCCTGCTGTAACACAAATAACAGCTTACGGGAGGCCTCTGGGGCTAGTGATTATGAAGCCTGCATATCAGCCAGTCTTGTTTTTGGACAAATCTGTTGAAAGTTTTGTGTTCCTGGCGAGAAACGTAGGGAGGACTGGGTGAAGCTATGGTTCTCACAAGCCAAACCTTTCTTTATAAAGACACTCAATCATAAGTGTGTGGATTTTTTTTAAAGATGCCTTGTATGATTGGCTGAGCTGGTTCAGATCAAAACAGAACCAATCCAAACCGTTGCACCAGTGCTGGAACCAAAATGTTGTTTGGCCATATATTTACACGTACTTATTGCCGGAATAGAAAAGGGACTCTCCTGGATCACTGGTTTCCCAAAGAGGCTCCTCAGTTGGAATTGACTTCCAGAGAGTGCTGAGTAGAGATTTTCCATTGTGCGTAGTCAGGCTATGCCAGGTTCACCATTTGTGCAATTTTATGTTGCGTTTCAAAACAGCTTTGTTTTTATTACTGTGCATTTGTTTTCAATGTTGAACTGATTTTGCTCCATTTTGTGTGTTTTTATTTTTTTCCCCTTTACCATTCCCCATTTAAAGTCGATTTATGTACCACACGCCCTGGCATTCAAGAGATCATACTCGTCAAAGGTAGTGTCTCCATTGCCATTAGCTGGCCATTGTTGCATGCATGCCCATTTATTAACCCATTGTGTCCATACATCACTCCCAGCCCTCCCACCCCATCTGCACTAACACCACAACCCCTGACTGTGCATGAATGAGATGTTAGCAGACAGTGGCAGTGGAATCTTCTTTGAGGTCATCTACAGGAAATGTGTCAAAGCCCAAACCTTCCTGACTTGTTACATTGCATGAAATGATCAGTGCACCTCAGGGGTGCAAAAGGGGGACTGTTAATCGCTCTGCAGGACAGCCTGGTGCTGAAGATGCATTAAGAACCCTTAGCCTCATAGCAGACTGGTTTGTTAGGTAGAAAGTGTATTGTACATTTGTGTGTGTGTGTGTTTTTTTTAAACACCCCTCAGGATTTGGAAAAGAGTAAATGGTTATACGTTAGTTTCTAGAGTCTTCTGAAATACACCAGGACAACCGGGAAATCTTAATGAAACTCTATCCCCCATTGAAAGCAAAATACAGAATTTGCATTAACTTTTCCAAAATAGGAGTATCTCTGTTTCCTAAGCTCCCTCTCTGCCCTTAAACCAAGCCTGTCTCACAGGAGTTCTTCTGGGATCTGAACCCACCCCCACCCTCAATTATTTAGCCTTCTGACTGAGGTAGCATACTGTGTAGAAAATGAAGAAGCAAAGAATTAACTCCTTTCCCTTGAAAAACAACGAGTAGAACTGTGGCACCGTAGAGACTAACTATATATATATATATAGTATTCTGAGCTTTTGTGGGCAAAACCCACCTCTTCAGATGAGATGACTTCCCTTGGAATACATAATGGTGCCTCCATGTAATCCCCTTTGTCAGAAGCTTGGGATAGAGCTGCTGCTTTGGGGCTTTAAAACTCCTCTGAAGATCACACTTAAACTATCCCAGATATTGGTTGCCAAGTACTATCTTAAAGAGATTGGCTGCTTAGTTGAGGACTAACAAAAGAATAGTGATTTTAACTAGACTTAAAAAAAAAGAAATTCCGGTCTCCTTTGTCCTGAAACTAAGCTTCACAGTGGAATGGGATCTCTGTCCAGAACTGGGTTTGATTATGAAGAGGCAGGTTACTCTTTCCACTTGTCCCTGAGACGTTGGATCCATATATGTGGAGGAGGAAAGGTGCTTTTTTCAGTCAAGTGAGTTCAGTCTCATTAGCTTGATATAATTGTGAAGCTACTTTAACATCTTTAACATTACGTAAGCTGGTGCCCATGTAGGGTACAATCCAGAGGTAATACTGGTCTTGAAATGATGACTGAAAAGATTAGTCCTGGGAGAATTTTGGAACGGTTGCATTTGAAGCCATAGTAAAATTGCAGAATTCCCTCAGGATTGCAAGGTATTAAACCATATCTGTCCTGGTATTAAGAGGACTTTCCTGATATGTTAAGTTAGCTGAAGAAGCACCTTATTGCCTCCATAGCTATGGCCTTTTTTTCCATGACATTATTTCTTGTGGTTTCTTTTTTCACTGGGCTAACTGGTGGTTATTGTGAAAGTTCCTTTCTCCCCTATGTTGAGGTCTTATCTATGCACCCAGAAATTGCAGTAATTTAACTAAGCACTTGTCAATGCAGGAAATGCTTTACTGTTTTAAAACTGATATAGTTTTTTCAGTGTAACTCCTCTGTGGTGGACACTTATTCTAAATAAAGAGTGGCTTTTTTCCATTCAGCTTAAAACCCTTCCAAATCCAAAGCAATATAAGATAAACTGAAAAAGGCACCTTACACTGGAATAGGAATGCCCACATATGGGGATGCTGATATAAGCTAATGTTTGAACTAAAACAGTTAATTATGTTGGTATGAGTCCCCTGTAGACAAGCCTGTATCCCTTTTCCTAAGTTAAGTCATTGCAGCCTCCATATGTAGACACTATTAAATTGATTTCAGAGTGTCCACAAAAGAGGGTTGTGTTAGTCAGCTAAAAGGGTGCAATTTTTGTGTTTAGACTGGATCTAAGATTACTGTACACCAGCGAGTGGTGGGACTGGGATGCTGTATAAAATCACAGCTTTGTCGTTGAGGCACATGCTCCTTCGAGCTGTATTGATGCTGATGGTGTCACTTGCTGTGCTGTAAACATCCATAAAGATGGAACAGCTAGACTGTTAGTTTGACAAAGTTCTGGGAGTGAAGGATCACATCACTTGGGAGGTTAATGGAGAGAGAGGTGTCTTCCCTCCCCTGCACTCCTGTTCATGGTATGTGAAATCAGTTCTCGATTTCCTTTCTGCAGAGAGCCTACACTGAGGAGGAGCTGAACGCCAAACTGACCAGACGAGTGCAGAAAGCTGCCCGGCGACAAGCAAAGCAGGAGGAGCTAAAGAGGTTACACAGAGCCCAGGTAGTACCTCTGGTAGTATCATCTTGTCCTGGCGGGAAATTCACTCTGCTGTCCACGTGTCCTTATTATCCTGACGCTCAATAGGCTGTGCAAGAAGAGTCTGTGTATCCTAATTGTCTTGATTACTCTCCTGTATTTCAGTGAGATTACTGCTGTTCCTACTGGCTTCATCACATTGGGTGCCTCATCAGAACATGCCAGAAATTGCTCAAAGTTTTCATGATAGTGCAGCGCAAAGGAGCGCCTGCTTAGTTAGGGTACAGCTACACCGCAACATTATTTCAAAATAACTAGCATTATTGCTAAATAACTTAGTCTGCGTCTACATAGCAGACAGTTATTTCAAAATAATGTTGAAATACTTTCAAGCTGGAGTACTTCTTACTCCGACTCCTGCAACCCTCATTGTACAAGGAACAAGGGAAGTCAGAGTAAGAGTGCTCTATTTCGAAATAAGTGCTGTGTAGACGCTCCCAATTTCAAAATAAGCTACGCAACTGATGGAGCTCAATTTGCGTAGTTTATTTCAAGTTAAGCCCTGCTGTGTAGATGCACCCTTTGAGCTCCTAGAGCTGAACAAAAAACATTGTTAATAGTGAATAACGTGATGCAGCTATGCCAATGATGGTATAAGCCACAGATGTTACAGTGGGATTTTGCTGCAATAAGTGTTACCTGATGGGCATGTTATTGTCAGAAGGCTAATGAAATGGGCTGTGGGTGTCCTCAGATAGTGGGAGGAGCTGCATGAAAACTGTTGGCCAGTTGTGTTCTCTCCCTGAGAAAGGGGGCTGCCTAACCAAACAGCACCCTCTCTTGCTTTGGGAGCTTGGGAGAATCATAGGCAGAAAATGGAGCATTGTGGGATTGCATGCAAAACTAGAGCAAAGAACATACCTCTCTTCTGATCAGACATATGCCTCTGAAATACTGAATGAAGGGCAGCCTTTTTTGGAATTCCTGGGAAATGGGAGCAGTCACTCTGGGCTGGATAATGTGGAGTACATGAATAGTTCCTGATGGTGTTCTTCTCTCCCTTTCCTAAACAGATCATCCAACGGCAGCTGGAGCAGGTAGAAGAGAAGCAGAGGCAGCTGGAGGAGAGAGGGGTTGCTGTGGAAAAGGCCCTTAGAGGAGAAGCAGGTACCTTACAATGTTCAATTTGTTTGTAATGTTTGCTGACTAAATGCCCATGCAATAGTTCACAACAATTTGGAGTTCATGGTGGGGGAGTCCCCTCGGAACTGAAAATGGAATAGCTTAACCTGGACTCAGATAATGAATTCATTCATTCCCCTTTTCACAGCAGAATTTTGAGGTGCTGTTCTCTCTGAGGTTCTTCTAACTCTTGAGTTTTCTCTCATGGCAGAAGTCCCCAAACCAGTTCTCTTTGCTCAGAGCTCAGGAAATGCCTACCCACTGTTTATTAAAATCTAAAGCTACACGTCTCTGTTATTATTTGGTGGTGGAACAAAAGTGATTGTAGAGAAATTGCACAGGGTTTACCCAGCTGGGATTCACTTTGCTTACCCAGCAAGGAGAGCTTATCTGACAAGATAAGAAACTAACTGTGAAATGATCTATGTTTTTCCTGCATTGTATTGGATCGTCAAATACAAGTGTTCACACAAGGGACCATCACAGAACTGATCCAGCAAGTACCTTCTCACTACACAGCCCAAACACCAATAACCTCTCACCTGGGCTCTGTGGAGCAGAAATGCATGTACCAAAAGGTTTCACTATGTCATACTGTTAATGTGCTACATCCCTTTTGTGGCTAAATAAAATGAGTACTGAGCAAGGCTGGAAAAATACCTGAACAGAAAAGCACTTATTTCAAGTGGCAATTTTTTAATCCCTCCTACTTTCCTCACATGATGTCATAATCCAGAGAAAAACAATCCCAAATGATAAAATTATTGGGCTGGCAGCCTGCCCCCTACAGACAAATGCAAGGGATGTGTGCGTAGCAAGTCCAGATGTGTGCACCATACTTCAGAGGCCAGAGGTTATGAATGGTAATAGTAGGACAGCTGTTTGAAAGATGGTGCAATGTGGTGCTTGAATGGAAGAGCAACCATTGTTTCTATAAGAATTGCACTGGACTGGACAATAAAGGTTTGTTGGGAGGAAGGTCTGGTGTGGTTCCCATTGGTTACTATTCAGCCATCTCACTTTGTCCTCTTTAACCCTCAGTTTGGTCAGAGACCTAGGTCACAAAATCATCTAGTCTAACCTCCTGGATATCACATACCACCACCATCCAGCACCCACACATTAAACTCAGCAATGGAAATTAAACCAAACTAGTATCTACAGGATTCCAAACTATTATGTGAAGAGAAAGGGAATAGGAGGGACCATTACTCAAGGCCACTGCAATATCTGAGAAATTAAGTGAGAAATACCCAGATAATTTTGGCCAGTGGCTCTCACCCTGCCACTGCAGAGGAAAGTGCCTATAGAAACAGGACTATTAGCAGTGTCTTATCAAAACAAAGCATTATTTGGCAATCATGTAGTCAGCATTGGACACAGGCTTGATCACCTCAGTGGGTTTTTGTTCAGCTTAATTTTTGTGATATGTGGGTTCAGAGTAATCTGATGCAATAACACATCTGCAGTGGCATCTCTCTTTATGCTATCTATGCATTCATACAAGGCCCCACATGCAGACCCCAGGCCTTCTAGCTACTGCACAATTAACACCTCTCTGTCATCTTTGGTTTTATTTTTTTTAACTTGTTCCCCTTGTCACTTTGAGTCCCTTCTTCCTCATTCATCCGTGCAGGGAGTGTCACCAGTGGCTGTGGAGCCTAACAAATGGAAGCATGTGCTTCTCCTCAGTCTAGGGAATGTCATAGACAAGCAAGCCATGATGGTGTGGGGGGTTGTGGGTATACGATTTGGAGTGAAGGCGGGGGAGGGAGGAGTTGTATTAAGACCTTTCATATTTTACTTTTTAATGAGCCTGACAGAAACCTAAAGCAAGCCATGCATGGGTTGGTCTGTTTGTGACCATTTTTTAAAAAAGCAGGACTATGAGAACATACAAGTTATGTTTATAGAAACTTCAACTCGTCATAAGGAACTTTGCAGCCTGAAGTCTTCCAAGCCTGGCAGAGGATAAACAGAGAAAACTTTATTCCAAAAACTGCCTTAATTCAACCTGTGCTGGCTAAAACTAAGACTAGAATGTGACCTCTCCTCCCCAGCCACCCAATTATGGGCATTTTACATATCTTCACATTGGAAGCACTGTGTTTCCTCTCCTTTTAAAATCCTTATTTTATCTCTCCCTCAGCGGTATTGTCAATTTTGTCTCCTCCATTCATGGATCATCCAGGATAGCTACACACATCTCCTCTCACACTTTTCCCTGAAGCAGACCCCTATGTTGCCTCAGTTACTGACTCAGTAATGATTGCTTTGTATGAAATCACTGCAAACTCTACTGTACTTTATGGCTTTCAATTCTGCTCCTTTATCAGCCATGTTTAGTGCTGCCCCTTAATGAAATCCTATCAGCAAAGGAGGTCAAATGTGTACAGTGCTTGTATGATATCTGAAGATGGTCTTTCCCTGTTTCACAGGTTTGTACAGAGGGAAGGAATTCCTTGGCCATGCTTAAGGTGGAGAAATACATCTTTTGTACATATTTGGCCGACATAGAGGGCTGAGGTACATAGGAATTACTATACAGGATTAAATCAATAGTCCATCTATTCTAGCATCCTTTCTTGAAGGGTAGCTGGTATCAGATGCTTCAGTGAAAGGTGTTTTACATTCTGTAATATATAACTGTGATCACCTGACCATAGAGGAAATTTCTTCCTAACTTTCATCACTGGTTGATTTTTTTACATAAAACCTAAAGGTTTATATTCCTGTCATTAAGAATAATAACAATAAGTTTCAACTAGCTCTTACAGTGTGTAAGTTGCAGCACAAACGTAAAGGAAGGAACAGACAAATGATTTACCTAACAAATGATAGGGGGAAATATGCTAGTAAAGTGGACAAAAAGGTTAGCCACTTCTTGATGGCAATATTAGACATATGGACAGTTTCCAGCTAATTACGTTTTGTGTAAAAATATTTCCTTTATCAGTTTTAAATTTACTGCCTTTCGAATTTCCTTTGTTTCCTTTGCCCTTGTATTATGAAAAAGAATAGACAAGCACACCTGATCTTCCCTGCCCTACACATTGCCTCTGTCAGGTCCCTTCATATTCATTTCTTCTCTAAACTAAAACATTTAAAATCTCTCCTCCTATGGGAGTCTCTTCCTGCTTTCAGTCATTCTCATCATCACCCACTTCTGGCCCGTTCTATTTCCACAATATCTTTTTCAACGTGAAGTGACAAGAACTGTAAAGAGCATTGTAGGTGAGGATTTATGATTTGTTTATATCATTAGAATAGTTTCACTTTGATTTTTCATCTAGCCTATATACATCTGAACCTTGTTTGCTTTATTAACTGCCCTTGCTTGAGCAGATGTCTTCAATGAACTCTTACAGTGATGTCCAACTCTCTTCCGGAGAGGTTACAGTTCATTTAGAACACAGCAATGTGTGTGATTTTTTTTTCCCCCCCATATCATCCCTTATCTGATGTTTGTCAACATTGAACTTCATCTATCATACTGTTAGCTCGTCATCTAATTTAGTTGCCTTTGAAGTTTCTTGGTTTACTTTAGTTTTGACTAAAATCTAAGTCATTTTAGCTGCAAGTGTTTCCACCTCCCTGTTCACCTTTTTTTCCAGATCACTGATAAATACAGAAATACCACCAGTATTAGGACAGAAGTTGGGAGCACCCCACTGTTAATTTCGTACCATGTTAAAAGTTGAACATTTATTCCTGCACTTATTTTTTTTTAATTCTTAGTTTACAATCCATAACTGGTCCCCCCCATGACTACTTAGTGTCCTTATTAATCTTTCTGCCTTTCTTTGACAATCTCTCCCATTGGTGGTTGCACAGACTAAAATCAAAGCATAGGAAAAATATCTTTGAATGTTCTGAAATGTGAACTCCATCTCAGATGAAAAGTTTGGTGTGTACAGGAGTTCGGTCTTTTGAAATCTTATTTGCATCAGTGCATCTTTCTCTCAGATGCAGCAAGATAGGCTCAAAAGTTTAATTCTCCATTTCCTTCAAATGCCCCATGGGAAATGGTGTTCTGTGTGGGATTAACATTAGTTTAGCAAAATTATGCTTAATAAAAAAGTGTTGATCTGGTAGGACACATGTTTGGCTTTGGTCTCTAGTGTTTGTTTTCTACTCTGTTTGCTAATTATTAAACCAAGTGAGTAATGAGGGCTCTGTCATCTTGGATATTTCTTCTCACACTTTAAAAAGATCTGGGGTAGCCAATTTTAAAAGTTAAGGAAAATATGTCTGCAGCTCTCAGCTCACTGAGGGTTTACTCTGGTATTCATAAGCTAAACCATATACTTTGGGAAATAGTGCACTCAGCCAAACAGAAGGAACTGCCCCCATCTGCCTCTTGCCCCAAAAACCTCCGTGTAGTACCAGACTGGCTGGCTAGCTCTTCTGTGGATGGTGTACAGTACACACGATGTCCATTATCACATACCTGCACAGGCTCTTTTCTTCCCGAGCACCGAGTCCCCACCCACAGCAACGCACTTCACCATGGCAGAAATATACACTTGTCGTTGTAAAGTGCACACTTTCATGCACTCGGTCATGCCAGCACACAGTGCCCTGCATTCATGTGCTGTACACACAGCCTTGTCTCACCCCACCCCCCAGGAAATCAGTGCTTATGTCTGTCATGGAGCTTCCCTGAGAAACTACAATGCTTCCTTATGACACATTTTGCAGCATGGAAGTAACAAACATAACTCTTCCTTTCTTTGCAAGAACTGGAAACAGGTCGATGTCAGGTACTAGTACAAACTGAACGAGATGAAATGTCTCTGTACAGACCTCCTATCCCCTCCCTTTGGAAGACAATGCCTGCCTGCCTGCTGGGAATTATTATTCTGTCTCCCCATCTCCTCCAGTATATGTATATGTATATCTATATATAGTTATATAGTTGCATGATTTCTTGTTGTTTCTTTGTCTCTTTCTCTCACCTACTGTCTCTGTCATGTCTGTATGTCTGTCTTTCTGATTCATATATATTGCTTTGATTTAGTGGGGTTAGGGGTAGATATCTGATCCAATAACTCTCTCTTCACCAATTCCTTGTTGTAGACTATTGGGGCGAGTCTTATTACAGTGACCTCATCGACTTGCACCTGGGTGGTATGTATAGCAGAACCTCTTACTGAGACTAACCCTGCTGACACCCCTCCCAGCCTTCCCTTCACCTCTTCCTCCCATCCTTGTCTCACAAACAACAAGAAGAAACAAACCTTGCACATAATTGATTGGCTATAGCAGAACCCTTTTTCCAGCTCAAAGAGAAGAGACTCTGTTGCAATTTA